CCCGCGGCGGCGGGCAGGGAACGGGAGGGGCTCGGGGAGCTGAGGGCGCGCGTGGCAAGGATCCCGCGGATCGCGCCCCCGGGCTCCCGAGCGGCCGCTGGAGGCAGCCGGCTCTCGCGGACGGTGCGCACCGCGGGGTAAGCGCGCACGGCCAGGCCCAGGGGCCGGAATCCACGCGCAGCGGCGAGCGGAGGCCAAGGTGGCGGCGCCCGAGCCGGGCACGTCCCGCCGCCGGGCGGGGCTGGGGCGCCGGCGGGGACTGCTCTCTGCCTGGCTTAGCCCGGGTCAAGGGCGCAGGGCCCCGAGGGGACGCTGGCTGCAGAACCCGACGCTAGGCGGGCACCGATTGCCGCTAGGGACGGTTAGATTTCTTTCTCGGGAAAATCTGACAAACACTTTCCTATGCCCCCAGCGGGTCCTCTGTCCCGGCGGACCCGACCCCACGTCCCACTAATCCGGAGCAACGCCCTTCGCCTCCGGGCCTTTGCACAGGACGTCAGGTTGTCGCCAGGATCGCCCAAAGTGAACTCGTCCTGGATTCCCCCGGGCACAAAACTGGGCTCCTCCTTTACCCACCGCTCGTGGCTTCTGCTGTGCACCCGGAGCTGCCTGGGCCCAGGGACGGACCCCCTTTCCGAGGACCCTCTTTGGGCTTAGAGCACAGCCCGCGCCTGCAGAGCGGAGCCGGGCTCAGCGCTGCTCACTCGCAGTCACCGCCAGGCGGCGCGCGTCTCAGCCGCTCGGGACGACCTCCCTCCTGCCGCAGACACTAGTCCCTTGGAGGTGCGTCTCCTCCTGTGATACCCTGCGGGGAACGTCAGCTCTGAGACCTAGCCCAGCCCTGGGCACTTCGTGCTGAGGGGAATGGAGACTTCCCTGTGCTAATAAATACTCCTTAGGTCGCTAAGCCACAGAAGCCCAGTCACAGTTAGCAGCAGGGCAAGCCCACTGCTTCTTAGGGGCATTTGGTGAAGGGGCTTCCTGCCGCCTAGAGCAGAAGAGGGGTGTTACAACACAAGCCTTCAAGAGCTTGTGTGGAAAGCCCACCCTGACCTGACCTGACACACCCACCCGCACCCACCTGGGGTGCTCTCTAAACATGTGCTCTCATCACCTCTCAACTGGTCCACTGACCACACTCCTGAGACAAACTAAAGCACCAGAGTGCTTCCAATTTGCTTCTAGGGTTGTTTCCTCATTCTCTTAATTTGCTTAATTTCCTCCTGGCCTGGCAGGATTTCTTTTAGATCCAGGCATATGCTAATTTACAGAGTTGGCGTCTCCATATTTTCCTCCACATAAGCCATTTTTCAATTAGCAAGTTTATCTCTCTTTGATGCAAAAGTACTGGCAAGATTTTGTTTTTTTCTCTCCTAAAGTCAGAGAGCTCTGCAGATTGGAAGCCTGTTACTATTCAGCTTAAGCCCTTAATTCGTGTGCATATATTTGTACATGCGCACACGTGATACAAGTCTCTTGATCTGGTTGGTCACAACCAGACTAAGGCATTGAGGCAGGCATCTTTAGGCAGGCTAATGCTGACCTCTTAAAGGGCCCTGTTTGAACAGGAGTTATTCATCCCTTCTTCATCATTTGGAGGCTGGGGATGGGGGACCACTAGTGGCAGTGCCCGGCTTGCAGGCTGCTCTCAGCAAAAACAAAGTGCCGCATGCACTGACCACGGGGTCCTGGGAAGACAGGGTTAGCCCTGATCTGTGGGTGCTCCAGCAGGCACCTTGGGAGGAGTCTCACCTCACAGAGTATCACTCACGTCCTTGGAGTGGTTCTGCGACAGTCAGCTTTTGTCAACGGGTGATGTTTATTCCTTTCCTGGGCTTCCAGTGCCCTGAGTGCACCGTGCCTTGGGCAACTGCTTGGCTCTGAACAAGAGCTGGAAAATCACTAGTAACATTCACTCAAAGAACCTCAAAGAAGCCCAAACTCCTTTGCCACTTCCTGCCACAGGCTTAACTGTATTCGCTTATTACGATGCTTTGAACCCCTTTTCCATACCATGTTGTGTTCTGAAATCTGGGGACACGGCTAAGGACAACACAGATGAGGAGCGATTTCCACTAATTAATTAACTGATATGACAGGGGACCCAGGGCATGGGCTTATCTCCCACTTCTGGCTCTTGTTTCAATTGGATTCATCTCAAGGTTTCCCCACACACCCCACTCAACTCAGGAACAACCCTACACCCCCATGGGTGGGAGAAGGCCTCCTCGTAGACACTCTCATTCCAATGGAGTGAGGTGGCTGCGAAACCACCTTGGACCGACCAGAGTATGCCTGTTCAATAAAGGGTGTTATTATCATTCTTCCTATAAATGTGTTACTGTAGAATATCTGGAAAATACAGAGAAGCATAAGAAAAGAATAAAGGAAGGAAGCAGGAAGCCCTGTGCTCCTTGAGAACCACAAATCAGGGGACCTCCCATCCGTGAGTGGAGGTTCCATGCCAGGTAGACCTGTGCTGGTGCTGGGCAGGTTTACTTACCTGTCAACACCTCCAAGGGGTCAGCCCTGGGCAGGGCACGTGGCTGGTACCTGCACAGCACTTTTTTCTAAACTCAGGCCTTTTATCTCTCTGTAAAAATCAGTGAGAAATTTTCTTTATAAAGCATTTTGTATGCAATCTAGTCTCAAGTTCTCCTAACCAATGAAAACAACCTCAAGTCTGTTCGTATTATTCAGGCAAAATCAGCAAAAATTTCCAGCTGAGGTGAGACAGAATACCTAACCAAAGCAAGATGAGATCCACACCAGAAGAAACATGTGAATTATCTACATATGCTAGTGAGCTCTGAATTGTTTATTACCTTTAAGGAAAAATTAATGTTGAGTGTTAGGGAGAGATCAATGAAATAAGATTTTGCAGCCTGTAAAAAGTTTTGTTTGTTTGTTTTCCAAGTTATTTCACTCTATTTTTCTAACTAAAGTGTAAAAGAATCCAAAAAAAAAAAAAAAGAGAGAGAGAGAGAGAAATGAAAATGCTTCCTTCCAGGCCTGCAGAGTTAAAATAAGCCCCAGGGGAACAGGAGGGAGGTGGAGGACTCAGATGCCACCTCAGCAGCACCCTGCCCCTCTCACCCGCCTACACTCCCAGAACATCTTTCCAAAACAAATGCTGATCCGACCAGGTCCTTCCCTACTGAAAACTCGCCAACTGTGAGATGATGAGACCCTGGATGAAAGCCACGAAAGCAAGCCACCGCCGCGGGAGACCGGCACATTCAGGAGGAGGAATTGGCAGTTTCATACCTGACTCAGTGCGGGTGAGAAGGAGAGGGTGTAAGAGTGATTTCCAGAGTTCTGTTAAACTTGGGAGTCTGTGCAGCTAAGCATCCCTTCCCAGAGATGAGAGCTCTTGGGGATGAGGCGCAGAGGAGAGAGGATGGCTCTAGACACGAGGACTTTGAAGGCTCCGAGGGACACCTGGAAAAATCCATCTATATCACAGTAAGAAACTTCAGTCTGGAGTTCAGGAGCAATGTCTTGCATGGGGCTACAGAACTTCAATTAGCACAAGAATTGAGAGCGACAGCTGTCTATAGTCACTGAGATCTCAGAGATGGATGGGATCACCCTAGGCCATTCATGGGTCGAGCAACTGGGAACGAAGCTCCCTAGGAAACGCAGGGAGGTAAACCGAGGCAGGCAGTGGCCACGAAGCCATCCTGGACCAGCAGGAGTATGCTTGTTCGATTAAGGGTGTTATTATCATTCTTCCTATAAATGTGTTACTCTAGAGTATCTGGAAAATACAGAGACACATAATGAGTCAAGCCACTCCAGGCAGTGGCCACGAAGCCATCCTGGACCAGCAGGAGTATGCTTGTTTGATTAAGGGTGTTATTATCATTCTTCCTATAAATGTGTTACTCTAGAGTATCTGGAAAATACAGAGACACATAATGAGTCAAGCCACTCAGGGAAAAGGAATGTGAACCTTTGGTGACCTCCCCTGCACAGCACTTTTTTCTACTCATCCTTCTCTTTATACAATGTGATAATATATATTGTATATATTATATATAGTGTGTCTTATGATATTGCATTTTATACTTAAATTGTATTTTATAATAAATAGTTTTAATTTCTCTTGTACTATATATAATTTTAAATCTTATTTTTCACTCAATACCATAGCAGGAGCATTTCCCCACATTATTAAAAATTCTTAGAGGAGCTCACTTACTAATAGCAGAGCAAATCCCTCACTGAGGACATTTATGCGTTAAGGTACATGTGCCCCTAACGGTAATTCAGTAGTCAATTGTGGGACAACAGGGGCATCCCACTCAATAGCCTGTCACACATTTTGTGGTTATGAAAAACTATCTACCTACCCACTCACCCACCTACCTACCTATCTCCCTATCTATCTGTCTGTCTATAAGACATATATATAAG